TGCTTTTAGTGGCAAACCATGATTAAGATTACTGATATCTGGCTCCAATTTCATGTTTATTTTTTTTATGTTTTGCATATCTTTTAAATACTATCTGTTTTTCAGAGACGGAAATGGACATGCGCATGGTGAGAGCCATTACCGCTGCAGTTACGACTTTGTCGCCAGAAACAGCAGTGAACTCTCTGTGCTAAAAGGAGAAACACTTGAGGTACACACCCTGAAATATGGGTGGCGATCTGAATACAAAAGTAGAGTTTAGATCCAGGAGTACGTCACACAACTTGGCTAATGAGAGTCATCTTTCCGTAGGTGATTGACTCATCAAAACGCTGGTGGAAGTGTCGGAACAGCTATGGCGAGATAGGATTTGTTCCTTTTAACATTTTGGAGCCTGTGTCTGCTCTGAATAAGATGGAGAAAGATGGCTCAGTGGTGCACAGGGAGTCACAGGTATAAGACGACACACAGCTACACAAATACACAGAATTTTATTTGTGCCACTGCCTCAGAAACTGTACATACTGTGATTTCTTGGCTAATGTTGTCATGTAGTTTTTGTTCATTCCTGCTTTTTTTTCCACAACAAAAGGCAGGTCCTGTCCCTCACTCAAAGCGCTTCTCATACACCCCATCAAGCGGGGGTCCCACTACAGCAACCCCAGCAGTGCGACCTCAAAGCATGGTTTTACCATCTACAAGGATGCAGGGAGATGAACCTGACAGAGGTAAATGAATATGGGCAGACAGAAACGTCATAAACACATACAGAGGGGCAAAAAAGTATTTAGTCAGCCACCGATTGTGCAAGTTCCCCCACTTAAAATGATGACAGAGGTCAGTAATTTGCACCAGAGGTACACTTCAACTGTGAGAGACAGAATGTGAAAAAAAAAAATCCATGAATTCACATGGTAGGATTTGTAAAGAATTTATCCGTAAATTAGGGTGGAAAATAAGTATTTGGTCACCTCAAACAAGGAAAATCTCTGGCTCTCACAGACCTGTAACGTCTTCTGTAAGAAGCTTTTCTGTCCCCCACTCGTTACCTGTATGAATGGCACCTGTTTGAACTCATCATCTGTATAAAAGACACCTGTCCACAGCCTCAAACAGTCAGACTCCAAACTCCGCCATGGCCAAGACCAAAGAGCTTTCGAAGGACACCAGGAAAAGTATTGTAGACCTGCACCAGACTGGGAAGAGTGAATCTACAATAGGCAAGCAGCTTGGTGTGAAAAAAATCAACTGTGGGAGCAATCATCAGAAAATGGAAGACATACAAGACCACTGATAATCTCCCTCGATCTGGGGCTCCACGCAAGATCTCATCCCGTGGGGTCAAAATGATCATGAGAATGGTGAGCAAAGATCCCAGAACCACACGGGGGGACCTGGTGAATGACCTGCAGAGAGCTGGGACCAAAGTAACAAAGGTCACCATCAGTAACACACTACAACGGCAGGGAATCAAATCCCGCAGTGCCAGACGTGTTCCGCTGCTGAAGCCAGTGCATGTCCAGGCCCGTCTGAAGTTTGCCAGAGAGCACATGGATGATACAGCAGAGGATTGGGAGAATGTCATGTGGTCAGATGAAACCAAAGTAGAACTTTTTGGTATAAACTCAACTCATCGTGTTTGGAGGACGAAGAATACTGAGTTGCATCCCAAGAACACCATACCTACTGTGAAGCATGGGGGTGGAAACATCATGCTATGGGGCTGTTTTTCTGCCAAGGGGACAGGACGACTGATCCGTGTTAAGGACAGAATGAATGGGGCCATGTATCGTGAGATTTTGAGCCAAAACCTCCTTCCATCAGTGAGAACTTTGAAGATGAAACGAGGCTGGGTCTTCCAACATGACAATGATCCAAAACACACCGCCCGGGCAACAAAGGAGTGGCTCCGTAAGAAGCATTTGAAAGTCCTGGAGTGGCCTAGCCAGTCTCCAGACCTCAACCCCATAGAAAATCTGTGGCGGGAGTTGAAAGTCCGTGTTGCTCGGCGACAGCCCCAAAACATCACTGCTCTCGAGGAGATCTGCATGGAGGAATGGGCCAAAATACCAGCTACTGTGTGTGCAAACCTGGTCAAGACCTATAGTAAACGTATGACCTCTGTTATTGCCAACAAAGGTTATGTTACAAAGTATTGAGTTGTATTTTTGTTATTGACCAAATACTTATTTTCCACCCTGATTTACGAATAAATTCTTTACAAATCCTACCATGTGAATTCATGGATTTATTTTTCACATTCTGTCTCTCACAGTTGAAGTGTACCTCTGGTGCAAATTACTGACCTCTGTCATCATTTTAGGTGGGGGAACTTGCACAATCGGTGGCTGACTAAATACTTTTTTGCCCCACTGTATGAAAACTAAGAAAATTGACACGTTTTACTATTTCATGACATTTGAATTTGATGGCAGGAGCACATCTAGAAAAAAGTTGGTACAAGAAATGCCTGGAAAAGTAACCGGTACTAAAAAGAAATAGCTGGAGGAACATTTTGTAGGCAAGGCTAACTGGCAACCAGTCACAAACATGAAATAAATCATCTATGAGAGGGTATAGTATCATCAAAAGATTCAGAGAATCTGGAGAAATCTTAAGGGACAGGCTGAAAATCAAGTTAAAATATAGATTTGTGAAGTTTGCAAATCACTGGAATATGTTCTTATTTAAAGTTTTCAATCTTAAAACGTATTTAATGGTTTTAATATAAATTTAAAATGTTTTTTTTATTATAATATAAGATGTATTTCTGCTTTGGAATTTAAGTTGCTTGGTATTACAAAAAGAACACTTTGTAAAGGGGAACGATATGTTCATATAAATATAACTTTTACTTTAGTTTGATATGTGTAAAATGTAATTCAGCAAAGGTCTAGTATAGATTTTTATTTCAGCTGACTAAAGTGTTTTTCATAATCAAAATCATGATGTTTATTGCATTATATGACATGAATTCCTGCTTGCACATAAATCAAACAGGCAAGGCTCATAGTTGTTGATGTTAAGCAATAAGTGCAACTCCAGCTACAACTGTACAGGTGTATATAAATGCAGTTGTTTTTCTTCTTTGTACAGTTCTGATAATGAATGATGAGCTTCTACAAAGGATAGCCCGGAGAAGAGGCTCATTTAAACAGACAGCTGATAACTCTACACCTCTGAACTATGGCTCTCCATCTTCTGAGGTGGCAGCCTGGCTTACTGCCAAAGGCTTCAGCGCAGTGTGAGTACTCCACAAACATATTTGTTCATATTAGCTAGAGTTAGTACTCAAGCTCCACTAAGGAATAGCATGTTTAAACATGCTGTTTAATTTTTATATTATATTGGTTTTGCGCATTAGCACTAGCACTCCTGCTAGCCAGGAGATAAATGTGTGCAATACTGCAGATGTAGGTTTCAAAAACCCTGAAGTTGTATAAGGATTAAAATAGCTTAAGTATTGTAGCTTTACTGTTTATCATAGCTTTACTGGGTAATGAATTGGACTTAAAAGTCAAGTTCTTCTTTAGAAATTAAAAGGTGAATATTAAAAATAGGATCTTTTTCACAGTGAAAGCACAAAAATGCTGATCTTGTAATTCATTCCTGCTCAGCACTGTTGAGAGCCTGGGAATTTTAAACGGAGCGCAGCTGTTCTCCCTAAATAAGGAGGAGTTTGTTGCGGTGGCACCAGAAGAGGGTGAAAATGTTTACAGCCAGATAATGGCAGAGAAGACTCTGCTTAAGGTTTGTTCCCTATTTTTTTTTTTTTTATCTGGATGTACTAGTTTGTGTGTATGTGTGTATTTGCAAAGATATGCTTGGGTGAGTGTTGAGTCATTTGTTTGCTCAGCCTTGACTTATGCACAGACTTACATTATTGCCACTGCCCCAAACTGATTAAAGATTTACAATGGCAAAAACGTGAGCAATTTCAAATTGAATGCACTCCTGTATAAATTAGTTTTTAAAATGTGGTCATAGTTTCATTTAAGTGGAAGTAAATGCCAAACACAATCTATTTGAAGTATTTGCAACATTTAAATATTTACAAATGAACATACCTATTCACAAATTTTGTCAACAAAACTTAATTGGGGTAAGAACATTTGTCAACTTGTCTATTTAAAAAAAAAGAAAAGAAAAAAAAAGGAAGATTGTAAATCAGAGCAAATTTAACTAGTAAAAAAAACAAACTATCCACAAGATAGTCCATGTTTATGTGTCACATGTTGCCTATACTTGGTGTGGGTGGGCAGCTTTTGTGATTTTTCTTGCTTTTAGTAAATAGACTTCATAAACAGATAGTTTTTGGTGATGTGTCTAAATCTGATTTTCTTTTAAAAATATGATCAAGAACTTTAATTTCATTAAGAAGTGAAAACAAATTATATCTTCTGTCCTCCCCAGAATGCACAAAAACTTTAGAACTGGATGCTTCGATGGATCCAAGAGTTAAAGATTAACTCACAAAGAAAGAGTGATGTATTGTAACAGAGTTAAAATATCCTTTAATACAGATGTGACATGAATGCTTATTTGATATAGAGGTAATGCTCATATTTTAATCACAGAGTCTGCTAATTTATCAACAAAAACAACAGATTTTAGAAGAAATTCTATTTAAATACTCTGGGAACCAATTTGTTGTTGTTGTTGTCATCTGGTTTTTAGTTTGACATGTTTGTAATCTTCATGCAGGTTTAATTGTATTCCTTCCATGCAGTGCATGATTTATATTTTTTATTTTTACAGCTAACATATTTGTATGACAGTAACCCCCCAACCTAAAATATATGCTGTCTTTCAATGCTTATAACCCTGAAATACCATAATTTACAACACTGAGATATATATGTGTGTGTGTGTGTGTGTGTGTGTGTGTGTATAAAGATGGCTGGCTAGATATATATATATATATATATATATATATATATGAACTGTATTTCATTATTTTGCTTGTTGTTATATATAAATTATACATAAAAAGATGGCAATTGCATATAGACTCCTCACTTTAATACTTAAGAAATTTTGAAGCAGTGCAAAGAGTTAAAACATGATTAAAAATAACCACGAGAAAGCGATACTACAAATGTAAACTCACATAAAAACTCTGATACCTGATAGCAGTTAGTTAACATTATGGGGGAAACTCTTGTTTAATTTCTTGAGAGGTAGAAAGATTATTTCATGTTTTCAGTTAAAAAAAATGTATCACAAAATTTCAAATCACATATAAAATTGCACTTAGGTTATCTGAGGACAGAGGTCAAGTAAACAGTTTAATTATGTATACATTAAATAATAATTATATTTGTTAATGAGAATAATCACATTACAGTGGGCCAGATGTGGGGAAGGGGAACTAACAGTATAAACAACACACACACACACACACACACACACACACACACACACACACACACACACACACACACACACACACACACACACACACACACACACACACACACACACACACACACACACACACACTCTTTGTTAGACCAAATGCATATAACTATTAACCAGAAACAATGCACTCATCAGTCACAAAAATCAAGACCAGCTGTCTAATATTGTAGACCCATTATGGTACAAAAACAGCTCTGATCAGTCTTCTAACTGGACCCTGTAGTATCAAGCACCAAGACATTAGCAGCAGATCCTTCAAGTCTTAACCTAAAAGGTTGTATTTCTGTGCGTTAGACTCGTTTTTCTGGCACGGCCCACAGATACTCAATCAGATCATAATCTGAGGAATTTGGAAGCCAAGTCAACACTTCGAGCTTTCTGTCATGTTCTTCATACCATTACTGAATTATTTCTGCAAAGTGGGTAGATGTATTACTCTGCTGGAGTAGGCAGGCACACTGAAAGACTTGCAGATCAAAAAAAAAAAAAAAAAAAAAAAAAGGTAGAGAAACATTTTTTGCCCGTGATCGTTTTGTGTTTCTTTGTGATCCAAAACTCGCATCTGTTTGTGTGGACTTTGTATCTCATTATGGCTGTTTGCAGACTTTACAGCCATTCTGCACCTAAACATTGCTCTCTATTTGCAGAGATTTTCTAACTTTTTGGTTGTTGTTCATTTTTCTTTCTTTGAAAAGATAGTTACCTTCATGAATGAAGCAGAAACTGACAAGCAGAGGGTCTAGATCAGGAGCCGCTTAGCCTTTGGGGTACCTTAAGTGCATGCCCAGTAGTCCCAGTCAGTATTTTTCCATGGCTGTAGCTGGTTGGTGTATAGCAATAATAATCCAATGCTAAGACTAAGATGCCTACTGTATTATATGTACATATGCGTAGTTGGTATTCTAAAATCTCACATTTGCTTTAGCAAAAATCTTGATTCTTAGTGCACTTAATGAGGTAAATTACTTAGAGAGAGAAAATGTGGTGGCACTGTCATTAGGCAGCAGGAGAAGAGGTAGTTATTACTGATTCTCACTGCCTTGAACTGTCAAGCATCTTCAGTCCTCCATCATGTTGCCCTGGTTGCAGCATTCCCAGTTCAGGAGATCCTTTCCCTGAAACCACAGCTGGATCTCCCGTCGAGCACCCTCCAGTGAATCACTGGCATGGACAACGTTCCTTTAAGTGACCAACACACATGGTTACTGTACTGCCACGTCATAAAAGCACATACCTTCATAGGCTTTAATGTTAAAAATCAGTTTTATGTCACAAATATCAGCACACATAATGAAATGAAATAAAGTCAGGTTACCTGCTGACATGGACGCTGAAATCTCCTCTGACTGTGCCCGCCTGGGCTTCAGTTGGGTTAGTGTGTCCTACCATTTTACGTGATGTCTGGACTACATTGGGCCCCTCCCATACCTAAATAAAAGTAAAGCAGCATGTGTTGGCAAGACTGATAAACCTACTGAAGAACTATAACAAGAATAAGCAGAAAAGTAACAAGGAGAAAACCAGGAGTATCCTCGAAAGAGGCAGACAGAGGAGCACTCACCATGACCACCACAGGCCCTGAGGTCATGTAATGCTGCAGACTAGGATAGAAGGGCTTAGCTCTCAGCTCACGGTAGTGCTGAGACAGGAGATCCTCAGACACCTTTCAAACAGAGACAGATTCAACAAGAAACTTGCAGATCACACACACACACACACACACACACACACACACACACACACACACACACACACACACACACACACACACACTTCAAACTCTTATACCTGCACCATCTTCAGGCCAACCAGCTTGAATCCCCGCTGCTCAAACCGGTGAATTATTTGCCCGACAAGACGGCGTTGAACTCCATCTGGTTTCACGGCTATGAGAGTCCTCTCCCTCACATCTGGAAGACCTGATGTGAGCAGACACAAAAGAGGAGCAATGGTTGTTAACCATACTGCAGGGAAGACTATAAAAAATACCAAACTAAAGTCTGCAGGTGTCTCAGTTTATAAATGTGTGGTATTTATCATATCAACATTTATCATATCAACACACACGCACGCACAGACGTGCATTTGTGTGTGTGTGTGGGACACAACGTCCCCACAACACAATAAACTAACGCGCGCATGCGAGTTTGCACCCCTAAAACAGACCAACAACCCTCACTGAACAAAACTGCATATGAGAGGTATGGCTTTTGTTTAGCTACAGAACACACAGAATAGAAGCTGCACACAGCCCCTTATGAATGACTGCACGCTATCAATTATTCACACGTGACTATCCACGAGAACTGCAGTCTCCTTGCATCTTTAAGACCGGCTGTGACAGCGAAATACAGCGACACCATAGCGGGCTGGATGGAAGTCTGGTTCTGGCACAGAGGTTTGGGTGTGTTGTATGGGACTTGCGTTTTGTGTGTCGGTATTGCGCACCGTTTAACTTTTGTACCCCTAACCTAGTTCCAGTTCATGACCCGAGCTTTTGGCAAGCAAGTTTGTTTTCCCAAATGTGCCCGTTAAGTTTGGGTCAAATAAACTTTGCCTTGGACTCTGCACCTTGGACCGAGTCTAACAGACTAAAGTTTGTTAGACTCGGTGCTAACAGAAATCTTTTAAAATCGGTTTCGACAGTGACAGTTTGAGTGTCATTTTCACTGTGTAAAAATCGCGTATTCAAGATACTGTGCACATTTTTAATTCGCAATTCATGAACATTCACTTAAAAACATAAAATTTGCATCCAACTGCTTTAAATCGCCACTTCTTAACAAACGAATCGCGTAAGTTCTATCTGAAGGACTAATACTTATCTACTATGCAAAACATATGGCTTTACTTAGCAGCTGGTACAAAATGAGTCACTTACTTGATTTGTTTCTTCGCCAGGTAGATCTGTATCCACCCCACAGCTGAGAAGGAAAACCAGGTAACAGACCTTTTGTGGATTCTTGAGTCCTCCAATAAAAGTGTTGGAGAAGTCTGTTAAAAACGCGCAGCTGCAGCATGGCCGTAATGTGACGTGCGTTTTATCAGCCTCTACTGAGTGAAGTCAACCCTCATCAATAAAAACTCACGAGTGATCCCTCTGTGCGTCTCTCCTCATTGTCACTCAATCTGAAATTTAACTCCAGTGATGCCAGACCTGTGTTAGTTCTCTGTACACGCGTGCGTCACTCAAAATCTCCCTTCGCTTTCAACCCGATGGATTTCAAAAGAAACACTTCCACGCATAAATCTTATTTAGTTGATATTTTCGCCTTTCTGCAGGTGAAATCCAGCTCAGTTTAAGAGCTGAACACTGATCTTGCTCTTCACTTTGCCCTTTTTTTGTTGAAAATGTGTATTTCTAAATAATAACAAAACACTTAGGAGACGCAAAGCAGAAGCAAAGATATGTTAAAATGGCCATTTTATGACCATTCAGCCTCCGAAATGCATCTTTTTGTTGTTTTAAAGTAACATCTGTACTTGCCAGATGTCTGTTAGTCATTCAGCCTCCACAGCTCACATTTGCAAATCTGTGATTTTCTTTAGATCTGGCACTTACCGCAATTTACAATTGCAACTGTTAGGTGGTATTTCAACAAAAATATTTCAATGACCTGTGGATGTAACTAGAACTTCACTGAAATTAAGGATTTGATCAGCATCAAATACAAGCTTAACAAATTGGATATACAGGGCTGTATGAAAAAGTATTTGTCGCCTTCCTGGTTTCTTAGTTTTCTGAGTATTTGTCACTCTTTCATATTTCAGTTTATCAAACAAATTTTAATATTCGACAAAGATAGTTCAATCAATTACAGCAAGTCGTCAAGGTCTGAAGCAGCAAAGCAGACTCAGACGGTCACACTACCACCACCATGTTTGACTGTTGGTATGATGTTCTTTTTATGAAATGCTGTTCTAGTTTTTTGCAGATGTAACAGGACTGAAACCTTCTAAAAAGTTCAGGTTTTTTTCTTGAGTCCACAGAATATTTTCCCAGAAGTCTTGGGGATCATTAACATGGTTTTTGGTAAATGTGAAATGAGCCTTAGAGTTCTTTTTGGTATTCTTCTTTGAACTCCTGTGGAGGCTTTTTTGCCTGGACTCTTTCTTATTGTTGAATCATGAACTAGATGTTGTTCTGGGTTATATGTGAACACCTGGACGAGTCGTCAGTGCACTCACCATTCACCACTGTTTCAAATTTTCTCCATTTGTGGATAATGGTGTCATGTGCTGCTTTTTCTTTGTTTTTTTGCGTATCTTACTTTGTCAGACAGGTTCTGGTTAAGTGATTTCTTGATCCAACAGGTCTGGCAGTAATCTGTCCTGGGTGTGGTGAGTGAAACTGAACTCAGCTTTCAAAAAAAAAAAAAAAAAAAAAAAAAAAAGGAAAAATGTGGTTAATCACAATTAACTCATGATTCATGAAGGTAGGTTTGGATAACTTTTTTCCATTAATAAGTTAACTCATGATTTAAAAACCGAAATCAGGAAGGGGAAACATACTTTTTTCCTGTCACAGCATATCTCAGTGGCAACAGGTCTTATGGAGTGATGAACTCACTTTTGAAAACTTTGGTTCAAGTCATTTTCAGTAATATAGAGGTGGTCAGGATAAATGTACAACAGTGAATGTCTAGTCATTTGTAACATGGTGAAAGGGTTGAGGAAATTATGAATGCAGAAAAGTAGTCAGATTATCATCCAACATGAAATACCACCAGGCAACAGCTTCATTAGTCAGCATGACAATGATCACAAAGGAGTGTAGCAAAATCATACCTGGATAGAAAAACACAAAATGGAGCACTTAGATGAGACATGGATCGGCCTCTCCAGAGCCCAGACTGCAACATTACTGAAGCAGCGTGGCATCATGTTGAAAAAGGACAGGAAAAATGCAGCCAACATCCAGAGAAGAGCTTTGAACGTGCTTCAAGAAGCCTGAAGAGAACTATTCCTGAAGACTAATTAGGTACATTACAAGACAGCGTGACTAAGAGAGTTCATGGTAAATGAACTGGTTCTTATATAGCGCTTTTCTACTCTGAGGACTTAAAGCACTTTATACAACAAATTCATTCACCCAATCACTTTTTTTCTAAAGTGTTAAGTGCTCCGTATCTAACATCCAGACACTTTCACACTCCGATAGATGCATCGGAGAGCAACATGGGGTTAGTATCCTGACTGGAGCAGAACCACCAACCTTCCAGTAGCTGACCTGCTCTGCCACCTGACATACAGCCACGCCAATACAGACAGTGCAGACGTATAAAGTTGGTCATATTGACTTCAGTTTTGTTAAAATTCCCTTATATGTGGATTTATATTTGCAGATTTTTCAATAAACTGCTGCTCCCTTTAAATTTTCCTAAGAATCATCTTTTTTGCAGTCTAGGCTTGACGCTGACTAGACTGCACGGTACTAATCAGCATCAAGGTGAAATTTTGTAACCAAAATCCTCTCTTATCAAACTGAGTGCACTTGACAGAGTCCACTAAGCAGTCACATTTAATGTAAGCTTAGGATACACAAAGCCAGACAACATTAGAGCCATGTCTTTGCTGCTTGAGTTTGTGACATCTTTTCATAATTTATGAAAATGCACCATTGTTCTTTTCCACCTTGTACATGTGAGTCTGCACATATTTGTCATGTGATTGATTTTATGTGATGTCATGTTTCAAGGCTTCTGTTGGTTTTTTTCTTAGAGTTAAGACATGTTCTGCCTGATCCAGTGGATCAGAAAAGGAACATTTTTTGCATATTACTGTCATGGCATGCCACACATGGTAAGCTCCACACCTCACCACCTGTTGATTCACTTTAGTTTAATTTACAGTCACTACTTTAAAATATTCTATTTATTGTTCAATATTGTTTCTTTATTAAATGTATTTATTTTTCCATCACACCTTCCAATGTTTATATGGCGTGCACACATATTAACCTTGCAAGGTCAAAGTTCTGTTTTATGTTATATTAATACATCTTTCTTTGTTTGAGTTACCTGGGGGTTGGCTTCTCCTGTCTGGCAAAAGGTGTGGCAAAGGGCTGCCAGACCTGAAGTACCACTGACAGCCTAATTGGATTGCACCACATGCTTCATTGCCTGGGGGGTGTTTCATGTTTGTTTCATTGTTTTGTATTAGTTGGTTATATGGCAGCCATCTTGTTTTCCCCCGTGTGTGTCATTTGGTTTAGCTAAACCGGTATTTAAGTTCCCCTGTGTGTCATTTCAGCAGGTCAGTTTAGCATGTTTGTTTGAGGTTTTGTTAATTATTATCTTGAGTTTAGTCTATTGAGTTGACCTCTTTTATTGGTCTGCCTGTTTAAGTTTTGGCTTTGTTAAATATGTTTTCATATTTTTGGGTCAATAAAACCCCTTTGTTGAATTAAAACCACCTGTGTCCTTTATGCTTTACTGCTTGGTCCCTGACAATTACAAATAAACAAAACAAAAAAATAAATAAAAAGTCTAAAACATATTCTACAGTAGATGACTGTAGTGAAATAAAGGAAAACATAATCTCTAATAAAAAAAATTCTCATTATGAATACTATAAGATGACCAGCAGAGGGCACAGAGACCAGCCAAAGGTTTTATTAAAAAAGCACTTTATTATTCAAGCAGGTTTTCTCTTTTCAGAATGGAATGATATGAAAGATCTTAAGTTGAGAGTCTCTCTCCTTTGGAGATTAAAAAGGCAAAATGAATAAAAGCAGACATTAAAGAAAACTAAAACAAAACTCAAAATGAGTTGAAAGTGCTCTGTCCCAGCCCAGCTTTGTTGCAGAGGCGTGGGAAAGAAGGCCTGGCTCAGACTGCTCCAGGTCTGGGCAAAAGCCAAATGCAGACCAGGTTTACATTTCTCACCAAACTCATTGGCAATTCACAAGGAGGGCACTGCCTTAAAAATAATAATGTGCCAACCTTCTACAGTAGAAATCAAATAAAAACATCAGCAGCATCCTCAACCTCCAATTACCTAACCGAACAATGTGTGTTGCTCCATCCTATTACTTTGAAAAGGTGGAGCACAGCTGAATTGGAGGAGTGTCGGGGAAAGTGGTCAGCACAGGCAGTCCTGACGGTATGTGGAGTGGTTCAAACAGTCATCGTGCTATAGCTTGATGGTGCCAGTGGGCAGGCTGCTGTTGCACAGTCTGTAGTAGCGAAGATCGTTCACCAGCCGCTGAACGCTTTGAGTGAACGAAGGCAGGTCCTTAGGAAAGAGGAGAAGGAACAGACACTAATATTAATTTATGAAAGAAATGCACAAAAACACATGTCCAGTAAATAGATACAGCCATGACTGATAGAATAGTGAAGCTATAATATATAGGTTTTCCCCAAAACCTCAACAACTCCCACCCCCTAAACCACCTCGTTTCACACGAGGTGCTGAAATACAGTATTCCCTTGATTTACACAGTAAGTGAAATTCTGCTAAATTTGAGTGACATAAATTTACAGACTGATGTAGTGAGTCCACGAAAGGTGAACCATAATGTGGCGCGGGAATACTGTAGTCCAGAATTAATATTCCATTTCAAGCATGAAATAGCAGCAGCAGGCTGAGAGAGTGCATCATCACAGAGACCACCACAACAAGCTATTTCTTATAGACACAGTTAAAGATTATTAGCTTTTAATTAATGTGTGGAAACTGGTGCCATCAAGTGGCTACGTCTTGTTTAAATAGACCAATCAGCAGACATTAGGTAAATGCACGCACAGACTGAACTGGCTTCCCTACCTTCAGCTAATTTTTGTAGAAATGGATGAACAGGAAGTTGGCTGGCTCCACTATGGTGGCTCTCATTATACCTAGTATGTCAACATTAATATACAGCAGCACGAAGGGTGTTTATTTACTTTGTTAGACTTAGAGGTTGGCGGATGTTCACTGTGACTGATGTGAGGGCTACAAACTCATGTAAGTTCGAAGAAAAATAAGGGAGTAGTTTTGCCTGCACAACCAGAAACTCTGAAAAATGTCATTTATGCACATCCACACATGAAAAACAACCCAAAAAACAAAACAAAAAACAAAAACAGTCCAGAGGAGTGGTCTTATCAGACAAATTAAAACACCTGCGT